TTTCCTATATTGAGGTATGTTCATTTTAGACAGTATCTCTGTGTCTTGTTTTAAATTCTCTAACAAAATTTAAGATAACATCTTATATGTATGAAAGTATATCAAACATTTTAATTACATTGAATGGATTTCTACTCAATGGTCTAATCAGGCAAATAACATGGCTGGGGGAAGTTTGTGGCTACAAAGATTTCATCCTCAGATAGGTAGGTTAGATTGCATGGGTCCTGGGAGTTACTTAAGATTTTAGTGTCCTCAAGGAAGAAGCAGACATTGCAGCACAGCTCAGCCCTTCCTTCCAGGAGACAACTGTGATTTGTCCATCTGTCTAGAGTAGAGCTCTTGTGTCAGCGAAGACTGTGACTGGCAGAGTCTGTGGACATTTGTGGGCATCAGTCTTCTGAGCTTGGAATTGGGAATGCACGCTCCACAGTGACTGGGATATTCAGCCAAATGAGACACAAACATCTTCTCCTCCGGCAATGACCCAAAGCCCTGCTCCACATTCCCCATAGCTTTGGAACATCTTAACTACAGGCTGAGACCCATTTCTGGCTGCAGCATTGAGTCCTCCCACTTTTTGACCCAGTTCCTGTCTACCCTTTCAGAAAATCTATGTTCTCCCAGACACTGAATTAGTCTGGATTATTTATGCAGCCCTTCTGAATCTATCTAGCCCAAACTGCAGAATGGGCCATTTTTCTTCAAGAAGAGCCAGGTCAACAGTTTTTTCTCCCATGATTCTGCTGAGACCATTCACAAGGATGAAGACAACCTCACCTTGATGAGTCAGAGCCTGGGGGACTGTCCTCTCTTCTCCACAGAGTTCTCTCTGGACTGTGGCCAGCACTTTATATTAGGTAGGTCTCGGCTATGGCACCCGAACCCCTCTGTGCTTTCAACTCTTCTAGGAAGAGGTGTGAGCTTCTTTATCCACAGGGTCCTCACTATAGACCCAGGGATTGTTCTTGAGACTCATGAAACCACAACCTCACCCACAAAAAGCTCCAACATCCACCAGAGTAAGCCAGATGCAGCCTGAGGTATGAGGCAGTTTTCACAAGTTAAGCAGGACAACTTTTCATGATGCCAGATGGCAAGATCGAGGAACCTGTGGTGAAGGGAGCCACTGCTGTTTTTCTTCCCTCTCACTGCTCTACCCTGAAAATTATCCCAGATTATCCCAGAGGGCAGCTGAGAAGTAAAAATAGCAGCTGTTATTTGTTTAGACTCAGTTAAGTGTCAGCAGCTACTGTCCTAGATGTTTGCATTCTCTGCAACAGTTTTATAAGGTAGGTACAACTCTCTCAGTTGTCCGAGAAGGAAAGAGGCTCTCAAGCTTGGGTCAAGCCTGGGACCTCTGTGACTTCCGTGTCCACTAGAGGGCGCCAGCCTCTCCTTTTCTTGTCTGAGAAGAATGATGGTTGATGGGAGTGATGGGAATGACAGGTTTGGGGGTGGATAAAATTCTTTACTTTCATCATAGAAAACTTCCTATTGCAGTAGAGCTGAGACAGCTGGAGAGCACGCCCATTCACATTGTCCACACAATCATCACATTGCTCACCTTCTTGAGCTCTATTGCCCATAGGATGTCCTGTTAGTCCCAGGACGCCCATGTCATGAAGTGATTCAAACTTCTGGGGCAGCTGCTGGAAGAGTAGGCATGTGCCTTGTGGGCTGCCCACCAAGAAGTCATGACACTCTTTTGCTTATTCTCAGTGTCAAGAATCAAAAATGGTGGCAGTGTGGGAGCAGCATAGAAACTAGGAAGTGTCGGCAAGATACTACCAGTGGAGCATGGTCACTTCCAAGGAAATGCCATCTCAGAGAACGTGTGTCAGGGAAGGGAAAGTGGCCAGTGGTCATTGTCTCAGCAGAAGTAGTGGCAAAGGCCAGAGGGCTGACCTTTAGAACTTCCAGTGAAGGTGAAAATGCTCTACACTGCTCTGTTCAATATGGTAGCCATGAGCCACATGCAGCTTTTGAGCACTTGAGATGGGGCTCAAATTAGTGTATCTGTAGTAGTGTAATTGAGGACAGAAACTTTGAATTAGATTTAATTCATCTGTGTTTGAAAGGTCACTGTGTCTGGTGGACTACTATCTTGAAAAGTGCAGTCCTAGAACATCGCACTATACCCCACTGAAGAGGAAGAGGTTGGTGGGTGTGACCTTCACCTGCTGCTGTTCCCAAACCAAAGGGCTAGAAAGTGTTCACAGGTGAGTGTTAGTCTTGATTTCTCCAGAATTTGCAGCCATGTCTCCTTTTTTCTTTTACTAGGGAAAAAAAAATCTGCTGCAAGATTTAGAGACCTATGTAAGGTCACCACTGTATCCTTTCTGCCCCCCAAAACTGACCTCTCCAGAGCTGGCGCTTCTCAGCTCTCCCCATGCTCTCTTCTCTTCCCAGACTCAGAATCACTTTAACTGATGTCTGTCATTGCTGGAGTCTTTAGGAAATTTATGAAGCAGTTTTAGGATTTTCTGCTTAAAAGAAGTGCTAAGCAGTCATTTCTTTTCTATTTTTCCCATGTCAGATGGGGTCCACAAAGTTTACCCACTTCCCAGGCCCTGAGGTATAAGATACAGGAATTGCATACTCTTGGATTGTCCTCTCACCTATTCTACCCAGGGAGGACTCGCAGGGCACAGGTTCCTTCTCAGGACCCACATCAGAGTTTACCTCTGCATCCTGCCCTCTGATGATGCTCTTTTCCCTTCTCCCATTTTAGGATAATTTTTGTCCAGTGATTACTGGGGGAAGAAGACTTTTCTGATCTATTTCTAATCAGTCACCGTCCTTCAAGGCCTTGGATTTTGATATTCAAAGGTTCAAGCTTTCAAATTCTTCTGCTTTCCTGCTCTATCAACCACTTACTGAGGCAATAGGTGGTTCACAAGCCAGTTTAAATAGGAAAGGACTAGAGGATGAGAGGGACTACCTAGAAACAAAAATGTATTGGTTAATATTGCAGAATGTGTGCAGTCATGGTGACTGGGACCCAGAGCTCAGAAGGAACCCACAGCAAGATTTATAAGGCCTCCTTCTCCCATTCCAAACATTGGATATTTCACCTTTTCTTGGAAAAAAATTAGTAACAAGAGTCCCTTTCATTATTTCTGCATGCCAAGAGCCTGGCCTTGCATTTGATCTGATTTGCAGGCTGGAGCCTGGCCATGCTATTTTCCTCAAGGCCCTGCTCAGGGTTGCAGGCAGCTGGTCCTCACTATAATCCAAAGACAGTGATGAAGTGGCAGACTTCATTGCCAAACACTGATCTCCAGTTCCCTCTGCCTTGTTCTCCTTACTGTCATCTCCCCGAAGTCAAAGCTGGGCTGAGGATGGGCTTCAGGGGACTGGACTAACAGTGAGCTGCCCCTTGCTCCTATGGGGGCGTGGAGGAATAAAAGGCTGCTGCTCTGGCTTGCAAGGAGGATGTCTGTTTCTATAGGCAGCATTGTCTAGAAGCCGAAATGCACATGCAGGGTGAAAGACTGAAACCACTCAGATGGAATATTACCTACCATTCCCTCTCCTAAAGGAAGAACAACCAGTATTCCCTACTCAGAAAGGCATATGGACTGAATCCAGTAGAAATGACAAACCTAGATAGCTCCAGAAGCCAAGAGTCAGCCCCACAATGTTGAGAAAACACATTTTCATCCTTTTCTTGGATGTGTAACTTCTCATAGAAGGAAAACTATAGTGAAACCCGGAAAGCAAGGAAATTGTTCAACAACCATTTTTCAACCACCCACCAGGTCTGATGTGCATCCAACACTGCTTCCAGGGTTAAAAACACAACCAATCCAAATACAAAGCACAGGGTGACAAAACCTTTAAAATGGCCAAATAGGACAGTCATTTTTAGTGCACCTCATACCCTGAAGTGCCCACTGAAAGCTGCCACAGGGTCTCAAGCAGTTTCAATTTGTTTAACCTTTTGTTTAACCTTTTCATGGCATTGATATTTACTCCTCGGCTTCCATAGCTAATATCTGCTGTGTGCAAGATCTGTACACCCTTTGTATAGCGAGTGCTTCCTTCTTGACTTCCCAATGGAGAGGCATAAAGAATCTGCAATAAGCACCAAGGATAGTGCTGCATTCACAAAGTGAGGGCAGGGAGGGAGATCGGGCAGCCAGTGCCACGGGAGCCAGGCCTGCCTCCATATTGAGAAACCAGTGGGAATTGCTGATATATTCACATGTAGAGGAATGAGAAGGACAACTTGTATGATGAAATACCTTCTCTATGTCATACCGTGGTGCAGGCACTTCCTATATTTTTCTTACTTATTTCTCCCATCCTTCTGCATAGAATATTGCCGTTATCTATGAGAAAGAACATTGCTTTGGAAATGTTAACAAATTTTTTCTTTTGTATTCAATTTTCCCTCTTGGCCTTTTGCTCCCTTCAGCCAAGGAAGCATTTTGTGTTAGTTGCTTTAGGGGAGAGATGTAATAATGGGGGGAGAAAAACAGCAGGTGTAACAACCAAGGCCTTTGGCAATGGGCTCACTGAAGACTGAGAGGTGGACTAATAGAAGCCATGGCCTTTAACTCAAAGCCATCCACCAACTAGAAAAATATTTCCCAAGCTGGGAGAGGCGGTAATTAGAAAAGCAGCATAGACATCAAGGGAAGCCCTACAAAAATGACCACAGGGCTAAGTCCCATAGAAAAATCCCAGATTCACTTCTGGGGTGTGACAGCAAAATGACTTTTGTCATACTTGCTTGGCAGAGTTATGGAAGGGTAGTTCACCTCCAGAAAATCAGTTACAAGATGTGTCACACAATGGTGTTCTGGAGAGAGCAAGCTCAAACTGATTGGTGAATTTCCAGAATTTTGTGAGCTGGTCGTTCTATTATTAGTTAGAAATTGGCCATGGCAAGATCGTTTACGTCCTGTAAATTGGCAAATGCTACAAATCAGGACTTGCCGCTCATCACATTTCCAACTCAAAACCCCCAGACCTGGTCGTTAAACATTTACCAGCACAACACTGCAAGTGGAAGAAGGCTTGGATGGTGTCAGACAAAGGTGCCTATGCTGTCAACAGTGGCTGAGTTGGAAAACAAAGAGCTCCAGGTGGAGGGGCTGTTCAGACAGGAGACCATGGTGACTGCAGAGACAGACAACAACGGTGACCCACACAGGAGGAGGACAATACAGCAGATGCTCAAGTGACACTGAGGACCAGTTGGCCTCAGGAACGATGTTGCTTGTAGATAACTCCTCTAGAACATAAATATAAACCAGGGAAAGGGCAAGAAATCCCAAATTATTTGAGTACATTTCTGCCACCATTCAGAATAGGGACTCAAAGTACAAATTCAACTCATAGAAAGTAATGAGGTTCCACATCTTGCACACCTGGGATGGTGAAGTAAACACTTTTTCCTATTGTACCTATTGGACAGGTGAAAAAGAGGAGAAGTGGACGCCCTACCGAGGTCCTGAGTCACGTGGAAGACACCTAATCACCCTGCTGCAGACAGGCAGGTCTGCCCATGCCTTACCGAGGTCCTGAGTCGCACAGAACACGCCAAATCAGCCTGCTGCAGACAGGCAGGTCTGTGCACACCCTACAGAGGTCCTGAGTTGCGTGGAAGACTCCGAGTCACCCTGCTGCAGACAGGAAGCCACCTGATTCCACACTACAAAGACGCAGAGGTCACCAGACCACCAGACCAAGGTACTGAGTCACACTGTTCCTGGCCCAGAGGTAGGGGCTTCTGAGCCATCTTCCCACTGCTCCTGGTCCAGAGGAAGGGGCTTCCTGGTCACCATCCCTCCCATGGCTAGTGGCCCAGAGGGAGGGGCTTCTGAGCCACCATCCCACTGCTCCTGGTCCAGAGGAAGGGGTTTCCCGGCCACCATCCCTCCAGCTGCTCCCAGCCCACAGGAAAGGGCTTTTGGGTCACCATCCCTACCACTG